AATTACTTATTTTCTGAAAATATTAAAAAATACAGAAATCTTCCCTATTCTGTAGGTCACCCCTCTCATCCATAAATCCACTTCGTGCATCGTCCTTTTGGTTGCTTCAGGTCCGTGGATGTGCCCATATGAGCTCGGGTGGGCTTAGGTCAAATTAGTTCATTGTGGTTCATTGGCAATCTCCCTACTCATCTCTGGTATAAATAGTCTCATAAACGCATATTTTACACCATTGTTCCATGGTTATCGATCAAGCGGACCAAAATACGTTAAAATTTTACCGAAAAATGTTTGAAATCATCGTCTGCCATGGAACTTTGTATATTAGATAGGAAATCTGCATACCGCAAAATTGAAACAGATATACAAAATATTCGAATAATTCTAACCGTAGTTTAAAATATATACAATAATTTCTATATATTTGATAAATCCGTTAAAAACTCTTATATTACATGATCACGTTCTCACACACATAAAACCTACATGTACACATACGCACATGCATACACTATACAATATACGTGTACACAGTATGCATGCATGCAATAATGTAACGCGTATGTGTCAGAAGATCTCTGTGTCTGTTTTGTGCATATACGTATATACGCATGCATATATACATATATGTGTAGTATATACAACAACCACAGTTTGGGCCGTGTTCTGCTCTCTCATAGTGACACCGTTAATGCATCGTATGAAATTCTAGCGAACTGCGTTTAAAAGAAAGTGGAGATTGATGTGGGTGTGCGTATTCGTGTACGCTGGAGCTGGAAGGAAGGTAGCTGCACAAGTGAAAGGGTGATGGCAAGGAGAAGGAGGAGCGGAGGTGTTTTACAGTGATTTTTAACAAATGGCGCTGTCCGAGGTGCATAATTTGGCCACGATTATAGCCAACAATGGTTTCACTGTTAACAAGGTAAGCAGCCACGCTTTTTATTACGTTCGCCGAATAACTAGCGTACGTCCTATATGCATGTCGCACGTACTTACTGCAAAGTGTGAACGAGATTGTTCCATCGTTACACACACGCTGAGGAACGCGAGATTTTGTTGTTAAAAATAATGCCGTTTGATTAAACGAAGCTGCGAGATGTTTAACACCGATCGGAGGTGCAAGCCGAGGCTGTAGTTTAATGTTAGTCGCATTTAGATTTCACTTCATTGTTGATGTATCAGACATCGTCGCTCCTTGCACGTAATTGTGTTTCAATTAAATACATTTGCTTATGAAAAACGTGGCGGTTTATTCTAATAAACCTGGAACTGTAGTTTCAGAATGACTGACTTTGATTACGTGTCTCACTTTAATATTATATACATAGATATATCTATATGTGTCTATATATAATACTTCTTGTTTGCAGTTATTTGAAATAAAAGTATAATTCGTTTATGTTTATTGTATTTAAATTAATAACAGTGAAATTAGAGAGATGTTTGTCTAATTCGCGTTCTAGTTTACTCTGATCAAATATTTATATGTTAGATCATGCATTTTTATTGTTATAGAATAACATGGTTGAACGCAACATCAACATGTTGGAACCACGAAATAACTGTTCACCCAACAGGTGCAATACTGAATACAAGTACTGGAACCATGACTTAATGGGATGCAATTCACAGAAAAATGTAAGCAACACATATAAACGAAATTAATAATTTTTATCAATTTATGACTTCTTATACTAAGGAAGTTTTTTTATTCTCATTGTACTAAAGGAAGTAGAGTCATTGCAAATGAATAATGAGTTAGATATTGTTGTATCATGTTATATAGCTTATCATTAGACTGTGGATGTTTATGAATATAGAGAAAACGTGTATGTAACAACATGCAGTTATTGTATATACAGTAATAAAAAAGCAAACACTGTATGAATGTAACAACAATTGACAGAGAAGGATAAACATAGATAAGATTCGATGCAAGCGAAAAATGTTTTAAACAAAAGTTATATATTTTGTTATTACCTACAAATAAGGTTCTATAAAATTTTATTGAAACTCTAATATTTTCTGAGTAATCGTCATGATTCCTCAGTATAGAATTTTTTAGAGTACCAATTTGTTGTTAATAACTCGTTAATTATTGAGCTCAGGGAAAGATGATTTATACAAAGTTACAGGTATTATTATTTTCTACAAATAAGGTTCTTTACCATTTTCTTGTAGCTCCAATACTTTAAAAGTAATTATTAAAAGATACAGACTGACAATTTTACTATAACTCCAATATTTTCCGAGTATTTGTCACAGTTTATCGTTAACAAGTCGATAATTATTGACCCTGAAAACAAAAATTGGAAATACTATTGTCATCTACTAATAAGGTTTTTTAGAATCTATTGAGTAATCGTTATGAAACTGATTCCACAGTAATAGAGAAAAGACTGGACGCTGGCGTTGAGCAGTCACTTCTAAGAATTAGGGATGATTCACGGTTGTATATCCGGAGATTACTGTAATCTCTAAAAATACATAAAACAATTCGAAAAATAAAGTATTAAATTCCTGAAAACATGTGTCAAAAACTATGATTTTGCATAAAAATCCGCAGTCTATTTCTCATACATCTAGTTAAACTACGTAAACTTGAATAATAATTGATATACTTAAGACAAGACAAGTTTGATACGATAACGAGAAAGGTTCCTTCAAAAAGGTACTACTATAATAATTTCCCTTGTTAAACACAGATGAACATGGAAGACGAAGATAATCAGGATTTAAACAATCCTATGGTAAACGATTTGGTGTCGAAAATTCTCGACGACGATTCAATCGTGGGAGACAACGCTCATAGCAACATCTACAACGGGAACATCCAATATCGCCCGGAGACTCAGCCGTACGCGATGGAGAATAAAATGGAGAACAATCTAGACTCTTCCCTCAGTATAGATCGGTTCAACGTACATTCGACACTGAGCAAACTACAGAATAACATTTCTAACTACGCCGAATTGGAATGCAGTTACAACAACCTGTGCGGAGAGTTCACAAGGTTGAACCTGAACACATGCACCTTACCACCAGACCAAGGGAATTTGTACAATATCGGTGGATATTCGAATACCTATCCATCTGATTCACACTCGTACGTCACGCGTCCAAACAACGAGAACTGTGGTATCGTCAGAAACCCATTGCCTCTGTGCAACGATTTGTTAACTACGACGAACAAGACGACGAACGTAGGTAAGCATTCCAGCGACTGGACAGAAAATTTATCGACGTCAGGATGCGCGCCGGATTTATTTGGAAATTACCAGCAAATACAAAATTGCACGAACGCAGATCTTAATTTGAACATGGCTCTAACATTGGCACTAGATTCACCGGACCCGGCTGCGCTCAACGAACTGGAGTATCAGAATGCGGTGAGGCAAAACGGTACCGTTAACACGTATAACAATCCGACGTCATCGATGCACGAGTTGTACAGCGTGACTGCCAATAATCAGAGTTACAGACCAAGCTCGGCGATGACCGATCTGAGCGTCGATTCCGGCTTCCTCTCCAATTCTCCGTTACAACATTTCTCCCCGGGCGACACGAACCTGCAGTGTTGCTTCGGGAACAACATGCAGCACAGTAACGTGAACGATTATAAAGATTTACACGACTCAAGTAGACTGAGTATGGGAAATATCGCCATACCGAACGAACAGCTACAATATTTGCAGCCAGCTCGTAGTTACAATTTAAATCAAGTTGTGGACCAAGAATATAAACAGTTGATCGACTATTATCCAGGTGTAAGCGATTTCACTGCGTCGTCGATTAATAATTTAGACACCAATGAAAATTGTCTTATGAGTAACGATTATAGAATCGATAGCAATTTGTTAAAAATGATCAGCCCGAAATCAAAGGCGATCGAGGCTAAGACGTACTCGCCGATTGGATTCCCGAAGAACTTAAGCTCGCGTAACGGCCATCAGTCAATTGCAAAATACGGATATCATAATTATCAACATTACACTGCCAACGACGGCGAGGGGTTGAACGTGATGCAGCAGAGTTCGACATCTTATCACGACCTGAAGCAGCAGCAGCAGCAGCAGCAGCAACAGCAACAGCCTAATAGCACAAATACATATAAGATGGAAGGATTCGACCTTACCAAAGAGATAGCTTTACCTTCCGTAAGCCATTTAACTAATCAAATCACAGGGTCTCCGATGAACAAGGATACATTCAGTTATCTTATAAAGCATCGGCATCAGATGCAGAAGATACAAAACAATTCACCCGGTATTCCATCCGCTGACGTACTCTTCAATTCGGGAATGGTGCAAAACCCGAACGCAGTCAGATCTGGAGTATTTCCGCCCGTAATGCCAGTTCCTGTGCCGGTTCCAGTGCCGCGTTTATTTTCTGTACTCTACGGTGGAGGTCTCAGCTTGAGAAACGGAAACGGAGTTGCGCGACGCACGGCACCTTCCAGTATACTGCACTTTAGATTGGAACAGACTTACGAGCAATTTAAACAGCTGGAGAAGGAACGAAAGAAGTGCGAAGCTGGATTGGCCGCTCATTTTCCTGGCAAGAGGGTGACGAGTGCGAACAACATACCGATTCCTCGTCTTCAGGGAAATCCGTCGCGCGTCGATCGTTTAATTATCGACTACTTAAGGGAACACGCACGCGTCATTACTTTAATTGCGAAGGTAATTATCGTTTTACTTAAAGAGGGATTCTGGTTCTTAGTTTGAGAAATACATCATTTTAAAGTAATTGCATATACTGGGTACTAATTTTAATTCGAGCATCTAAATTGAAACAATGAATAAATGGGATATACATTGAATGAATAAATAGGTTTTAATTAAAATTAGGCGTGATGGCGATAAAAATCTTTAAAATCATGTATATCCTATTTAAAGTTAAAATTATATACTTATTAATTGATTTTCTTTTGGGCTACGATCTTCTATCTTAATGTACTTTAATTCAACCCTTACGTGATCAGAAGATATTTGCAACGTCTTAATGTTGCAGTTGATCCATTATGTACACTCTAGCGATCGCAAATCTTATCTAAACGAATGATTCAAGGTCTTTAGTAAGTTTACATAGTTACCTTCCAAGTGAATATAAGACAGAGTAAAAAAATTGATTTAAGCTAGCTTTCTTGCGTTAAAAATGTATAATCGTTTCAAGTTCACAATTTTTATAATATTTTCGGTTTTCTAAGCTCACTTGGAAACTAACTTTACATATGAACACACGACGCAGGTCGTATTTCTTTTTCATAAATCAGTCATAATTATTTGTATGCAGAAATCCATGAATTTTATAGATTTTATAAATTTAAACATTTTTTTTCACCAATTTATTTTATATGTAAAGAAAGCAAAAATGGTTCTGATTCTTATGAAGAAGTACTACTATTTATTATCGAAACAAGGACAGAATACCATGAATCTTGATAAAAAAACTTGATTCTCTGCTTGTTTCGATAATAAATAGTAGTAGTTCTTCATAACAATTAGAACCATTTTTGCTTTCTTCACAGATAAAATAAATTGGTGCAGAAAAGTATTTTTTTAAAAATTGTAATTGGTAAAATTTGCCTCGATAGAGACCATAGACCCACTGCAGCGATGAGACGTTACAAG